CAAATCCACTTGTTGTGGATTATATTATATTTATATTTTTATTTTTAATTATTAAATTTCAATACTATTCTGTTTGTGGAGACATTATTTATTGGATGATTTTATAACTTTTTCTTGTGTAAAGAGCCTAATCTAGGAACCTTATAAGGAGAGAGTCATGCTAATGTTACTAAACGATTTGCTCATTCCAAATATGATGGAATCGCAATTGCTGGAATCAGAATTAAGAATTTTTAAATAACTGAAAGTTCAAGTAAATGCAAATACCTGCTCAAAAAGCATCCGGATTTTGTTGTTTGTTAACTACTCCTTAAGTAATGGACCTTTTTCAAAAATTTTTTTTGTTATGTTGGTACACCTTTTCTTGACATATGGTACATATATGGACATATTTGAACATATATGGAGACTACCTCAAGTGCATTTAGCGATTTTTACTACGGAAAATTCTTGTTGTACGCGATTTTTTGACCAAACACGGCTGTCAACACCACTATCATCGCTCAGGCACCATATTCGCCAGATCTGGCGTCGTGTGACTTTTTTCTGTTCCCGAAACTCAAATTGCCCCTTCGTGGTAAGCTTTTTAAGTCGATTGAATCGGTAAAAGAGAATTTGCTGAAGGAACTAAAAGCCATACCTGTACGGGCCTACGAAAAGTGTATGGAAGATTGGGTTAAGCGTTGGCATATGTGTATCGCTTCAGAAGGAGCTTATTTTGAAGAAGATAAAAAAAATTTGGAATAAAATTTAAATTTGTGTATTTCATTTACAAAATCCGATACTTTTTGAGCAGAAGGTATCTGTGAAATTGAAATAATCCGTGCAGAGACCACTTTTTAATGGAATAGTTTACTTGATAAATAACCTGCTGGAATCGCTGTAAATTCAAATCACTTAAATTGTTCTTTTCCATCTGAATGAAACATATTTTGTTTACTTTATTGTTGTAATTTTTTGTGAAATTTACTTTTGACAACGACTACATAACTTTTTAAAATTATGTGTTTTGGGGCGTATGAGTAACAAACTTTAAGTGCGTATGAAGTTTTCGCAAAGAAGGCAAAATTATACTTTTGGGTGCAAATATATTATTTAATATTATGCAAAAATATGAGCAGTAGGAAATGGTGCTGTCTTCAAAAAGGAATTTTTGAAAGGGAAGCGGCGCAAAGCGGCAAACGAGCAAATAAAAATTATACAAAGGCACAAAAGCGCATAAAAGCAAGTCAAAAGGTCATAACCTTATTGACATGTCAAATTATTATGTACTATGTACGAGATTGAAGACATATACGTTTCGGATCCTACATATACATTATTTGCGAAATAAAAATTTAACTATTTTCTGTTTACATTGAGACTACAAGCAACGAAAAGTGTTCGTGTCTGTGCATAAGTTGTAGATAAATAAATTTATTCCGAATAACTTTAGCAATTTTTTCTTATTCGGGCTTGTATTTGAGTTGCATTGCTTGCTGACTTGCTGAAGGATGATTCCTTCAGCACAAAATTAAATAACTTTTCTTGTATTCCCGCTCTCAGATATGTAAATGAAATTTATGTTCCTTGTTCTTGTGCCTCCACTTACTTTTTTAACAAGATTTGTTAATTTTTTTCTACAATTTTATTCCACTTTTTCATGCTTTCTGTGAAAAAATTTTTTAATTATTAAACTATCTCACGAAATGCAAGTTAGTTATAGCTGTTCCGTTATACACAACCGAATAATCAAGATACTCAACAGTATATAATCTAATTAATCAGAAGTGTTATCGATTGCAACAGCACTTAGAGTGTGCGGTTCATCAGTGCCAGCATTATCTCGAGTAGTTAATATTTAAGCCTATCAAATACTAGGGGAGGATAGAAGGCAAAACTGATTGGCGGAAGTGAAGGCATATAATATATATTACATGATGTATAATATATAATTCATAATATATAATACATAATATAAAAAATATAATAAATAATATATAATATATAATTTGTAATGAATAATTAATAATATATAATATAATAGATCCAGAGATATGTCAGTTAAGAAATACCTATCTGAGATGAGTAACATCTATTTTCCATCTATATCCTATTAGCAGTTTCAAGAAATATTTCCGTTGATTAACAAAAATATAACAAAAAGAAAATATGTACAACGATTCCAATTACTCAGGCACAATATATACAACTAGTCCGATTACCCGGGCACATCCATTTACCAACGGGTTTTAGTGAAGACAACTATGTCAAACGAAACATGATACTTATATATGCATACATAATTAGTAGTTTTATGAAGTATTTCACCTATTAAGAGAAACACAATTGAGTTCCTCAAAATTAATAGGTTCTACTGATTTTAGTCATGTCTTTCAAAGAGACATATGGTCTAAGTCTAAGTCCAACCAATTCTAATCTATCAAAAACAAAAAAGACGTCGGTTTAACGTCGGTTTAACTTAGATTTTTTAACAACTCAACTCACTCAAGCAATAATGGTAATACGAGTCTAGGTGAGGGATTTTTGAAATACACACATAGAGATTTGAGATGGAATGCTACAAATTACAATGGTTTTACTAGTTGCAGAACTGACAACAGCAATGGATTTTTGTTACTGTATTGAAAAAAAAATCAAATCTTTCAAAGTTGGAAAGTTAATTTGGGTTTTTAGTTAACAGCGCCATGCGTTTCTATATACAAACCAAAAATAAAGCTAACGTATTTCTGTGTACTAGACATACTCTTTAGATTTGCTGCATTTTCATTATAGATTTTAATAGCTGATGTTACAAGGATTGTTAATTGATATATAATAGGGTTTTTTTGGTTTTATTTCTTTCTATGTATCTAATTATATATGAAAAGTTTAAAGCAGATTTATTATGTATTTCAAAAAGGTTGAAAGAAAGTATTTAATTCATATGAGGAATATGTATATCAACCATTTTTTACAAGCGGTATGGCTTTTTATCTCCTCATCTCACATTTGGCTAGAATTTCTTCTATAAGCTCGTTTTTTGCAATCAAAATACCCAGGATAAAAAGAACCTAAGGACATCTAAGTCCATTGGGTTTGCATTTTATACCAATTATTAACGATTATTTACAGAGCCTGATATATGGTCATTTAAAAACAGGTCTTTTAGGAAAAAATAATAAATTTCTTTTTTCTTTAAAGAAATATATTTAATAAAATATTATCTAGATTTTAATTAATTTCAATTTCAAACAAAATTAAACGATCATTTTGAATCAGAAATAAAAAGTCGAAAATAAAAAATTAACCAAAAATATTTTTTTGGAATATTTTTGAAAATTTTATTAGATAGGAATTTTGTACAAGTTTTTGAAAATTTTTTTATAATTTAAAATAGAATTTAAACTTTAGAATAAAATAGAATAGAACTTTTTATGGTTATTTTTATGGACATATTTTGCGATTTTGAAATCTTACACTACCACAAGGTTTCTTTACGTAAAACACGAAAACTATTACTCAAATCTATCTGCGATAAAAGCTGATGTCCCTCAGGGGAGTTTACTCGGTCCACTACTATACCTGTTTTACACAATAGATTTGTCAATAACACCTGAAAGTAAAATTGCAACATTTGCAGATGTTTTTGCGATTGCTGGCTCCGTCAAGAATTAATAGTCAAATTACAAACAGCTACAGATTCGCTAGACAATTGGACAAAAAGATGGAGTATCAAACTGAATTCTGCTAAATCTGTTCATGTGGATTTTACAAATAAAAAAATACAATAGGTATATTCCTATTTCGATTCAAGGTACTTAGATACCATATGCCAATACTGCAAAATATCTTGGCATAATGTTGGACGCAAAACTTCAATGGAAGGAACACATAAAAAAGAAACGAGACGAGCTAGACCGCAAATCCACACCATCTGTACAAAACAAGATTTTGCTAATATATACAATCAAATTTTAGAATCGGTATGGTCGTATGGCGCTGTGATATCGGTGAGCGCTAGCCAAAGTAACGTCGAAATAATCCAATGTTTCCAGAACAAGGTTCTACGGAACATTTTAAAAGTGCCATGGTACATTAGGAACTGCGATATACACCGCGATAAACACAGAAGTGATTACCAAGACAACCAAGACGACTAAAACGGCGAAATGTTGCTGACATGGCATCGAATTAGAATGTAGAGTAATTTGTTTAGAAAATTGCTTATTATTTTAAAAAAGGAGTTCAATTTCGGTCAAATCAGAGCAGGTGAAGTCAGTTTTTGACAAAACCCATTCCGCATGTGAAATAATGATCTAAACACAATATTTTGAAAGCATTAATTTGATTAGTTTTTTTCCAGTAATTATGGCAAGAAAAAAATTTAACAAAATAGAGAACAAATATCTCTATAAAATAACATATCTATCTCAAAAAAGAAATATGTCTAATATATTCTTTAAAGTAAATAAATATTTATATAGTATAGGTATATTTAGTAACCTATAACCTATGTAACCTATGTATGCTACGTTATAGGTGTATGTAGGTATATATAGTATGTATATATTTGTTCTTAAAAAATAGAAACGAAGTAATTTTCTGTGCAAGCCAATAATATTTTTTAATAATATTTATAAATTACGTATAAGTCATAAAAAATTCCAAAAAGCAATTTGGGAAATAAATTGTATAAATTTCAATCAGTTAAATCAATACAAACAAAAAATAAATATATTGTTTTTTTAATTTATGAGTGATTGAAATATATTTTAAATTATTAAATATGTAGATTAATATAGAATTAATAAAATAACAGAAATTCATTTAAAATATTATTGGATGAAAAATAAATTTTATAGAAAACCACAACGATAATTCATTTATATGGCAAAGCTTATTTAAATTCTGCAGTTTGAGGTGTGAAGCGATAAAAAGTAAAAATATGCGAATTAAAAAAAATTATTTAAATAATTTTATAATAAAAACTGTAATGACAGTAAAACATTTTTCATCACCTTGGATATGTCCTCTCTTTCAAGTAGCTTTCGGATTAATTAACAAGAAGTTAGTAACAATTTTACTTAAATAAATTTATAAAGAAAATTCTTTTGAGTTAAAAAGTGAGGGGAGAACAAAACTACACGTCTACATATTCGTTCAATTCATTTTTAAAATATTTTATAAATATGTTTCCGTGCTTTCTCTCTACTTACCTAATGCTGTTGCTTCGATTTAGACGTGGACTCTGCACATATGGGGACTCTGTGCCGGCTACTGCACCTCCTTGAGCATTGGCAACGGCTGCGTTGGCCACTGCAACTGCAGCAGCTGCTGCGTTTCGGTGTTGTAGCATTTTATGGCTATGTCGAGCCATGGCCGGTGAACCGATTTGCATATTTTCCAGTGAGTCTCCCTCGGATAAACGACTACCCGCGGTATTACTGTGCTTAAGCCACATGGCGTACGTGCTATACTCAGGCTTCACTTCTGCATAGGTTTGTGTATCGGATAAGGAGCCATCTATCATTTTAGCAGGACGATTTGATAATCTATTAAAATATGTGTAAAATATGAATTTTTGTTTAAAAGTACTATGTGAACATAAAAACAAAAAATTGTTATAGAAAAATGAATTAATGTTTTTATTTTTGTGAATTTTGTAAAATATTTTAAACAAAGGAGATTAAATACTAGAATAAAAACTTAAAATACCTATTGTATCAATCTGAGATGGTTGTTTCCAAGTAATTTATTTACGTATAACTAATTCTTCTTCCCACCTATGTTTACCTTATAAACCATATAAACGTATAAATTTATTTGTTTGTCAAATAGTGTCAAATTTTGTATAAAACATAGTTTACACAAATTTGATCAATTTACACGAAAATTTTACCGTATAAATTTATTTGTTATCAATACAGAGTTGCATTCCAATACAAGCAAATCATTTACAAAAATATCTTTGTAAATACTTTTTAGTTTGGACTTTTCGCTTAATTCAGGTATTTTATTTTATGATTTATTGAAAGCGACAAAGCTGATCAATAAATTTGGTACAAATATTTAAAATTGCAACGATATTGGTTAAGAAATTGCACTGATGAGCACTGCATTTTGTGCTGTCGTAATTATTGCTATTTTAAATAGTGCTATTATACAGCAGATTGATAAAGTTACACAAATATTTCACCACGTGAACGCGTAAAATAATACATTTGATAAATTTATACGCTTAGATGCGTATCACTACTATATTTTCTATAGGTACTCTATTATGGTGTTATTTAATTTCATCCATCATCCATCCATAAAGTACCCGAAGAAAGAAAAAATCCTTATTACAGTGTTTTTTTAACATCATTAGTTCTATAAATTTCATAACTTAGATAAATTTAATCATTATATTAGAATCTGCTATTGCTATTATTTAACCCCACATATTTGCAATATAAAGAAAACTCTATTCTAGATAAGTTAATTACTGTCAACTCCCTTTCCTTTCAAAAGTATTGTGAGCAAACGTACGTGAATTTCAAGTGCTACTATACTAATCATTATTGCTATTAAACAGCACTAATACTAAGTTTTTGCTGTCATGACACATATATAAACCTACAGTATTATTGATTAAAGTTGAGAATAAATAGTTAATAATTGTAATAATTAAAAGACAGGGTTTGACTAAGAACTGCAGTTGAAATGTTTGGTCTATAACGTACTTAATATATCTTAAATACTTTTTGTTTTGTTTTAATTGCTTTAAGAGTACAATATGAAATTTTCGAAATATTAATAGAAAATTAATATAATTATATAAAAATTTAAATTTTGTGACTGGGGTGTCAATCTGCATGTGACTTTTTACTCCATTATTTAATTATACAATTTTTAATTATGAATATAATATAGTATGACAAGAAATTTTCGTCAAAGAAGAAATATGTGGTAATTTAGAAGAAATTTTGAAATCTAATAGAAGTCCACTTCTGGACTCTCAGGAAGATATGCTGATTTAAGGTCCGTCATCAACTAAAAGACAAATAAATGATATGATTTTTTAGCCTAGTTAAAGCCTAGTGTGGGGTAGTGATAAACCCCCCAGCCATTATAGAGTAAAAGTGCGTAATAGCACTAACTCAAGAAGAAGAAGAAGAAGTTTGGGCTGACCATAAATCTATTTCTTTGGAAAACTCAGTTGGATTGCAAGAGTCAGAAAATTTCACCCATCTACTTTGAACCAAGGACCCGTGTGTTAACTCACAAAGTCAATTTACAATTTGATTCTAAAGATACACTTTAATTAATTTTATGAGATTATATAATGTAGAAATATATATATATATATATAATACTTTCATATTTTAATTAAAAAGTAATTAATTATGCATATTCACACATATTTATTTTTATCCTTTCCGGATTTTTAATCCATAATAATTTTTTATTTAATCAGGGCAAACTGTTAATTAGTTTGAATTAATTTTGTATTAATCGTTGCTCTTGGTTTCGTTTTTAATAAAATTATTTTTTAGCTAAGCCATTGAAAGGTTAAAGGTAGTGCACAGGTTATGGCATTTTTAATAAGTTGAAGTTTTTTTTCCTTTGCGGGGTTGCGGGGTTTTTTTCAATTGCCAATTAATTTTTTAGTTTTTCCTACTGGAATAAAATTCCCTTCAAAATTTTTAATAAATATTTGAACCATAACATTGCATTAAAAGCTGAACCACAACTGCAAACACTTACCGATGCTGGAACATGTGTAAGTCCGTGCCTGGTTTGGGTAAGCTGTGGGAGCCAGTGGCGAGGCGTTCGCGTATGGATTGGCTGAGCTGCGTTGCGCTTGGTCCGGTCAATGAAAAACTGCGATGTTGTGTACTTGTGGGCATTTCTAGAAATAGAATAGAAGCAACAACAATAAAATCATATATAATTACAAAAATTTCATTAAAAATTTTCATTAAAGTTTGCATATTAAAGTTAATAGCAACAACGATAAACTGTGTGTAAAAACTTACTGGTCATTTCATTTGGTAGCGTTTGAGTGCCACCGGATATTTTTCTACCTCCTGCAGTTCTTGGTACTGCGGAGACATGAGCTGTGCGTCCACATTGTCCAACCCCGTTATTTGTTTGCATACTAATGCCACCGCTATTGCCACCGCACATCATCATCGTTATATTTTGTTGCTCAGCTGTTGCAGTCGCACTGCCATTTGCACGTTTCACGTAACCGAAACTGGGTGGTACACCTTTAGTGCGTCCTGCATTTGAGCCTTGCTTTGAAGGACTGCCATTGCTTGAGCTATTGCCACTACCCATGCCACCACTGCTGCCGCTGATACTCCGTCGTGTGTGTGACGGTGAGGATTTTTCTGTTTTATCCATTTTATGCCCATTTAGTGGTTCTGGCATCTTAGACCAATTATCACGCCCACTATTGCGCGTGCTGGAACGTGGTGACGCATGCTGTCCATGATGATGCTGTGGACTGGCATTAACGCTGCCATTACCCGAACCACAACCATTAGTGGCATCCATTTTATTATTGGAACCGCCACTTGAGCTGGCTTGGGAGGCACCCGATGAAGGCGGTGCTGTACCAATGCTATCAAGACTGCCGCGACTACTGCGTATACTGCAAAATAAAACATAATAATAATTCGTATAGTTTTTTTTATATATCCAGTGAGTGTACTATTTTTAATAAATTTTATAATTAAATAAAATTCATAAAATAATTTAGTTATGTATGCTAAACTTACAGAGTCAGCTTGGCGTATAATAGTTCGTATATAATACAATATATCATTCAGTCAATGAGGTTTATAACAAAGCCACATAGTTCATATGTACATATATGTATTCAAAGAAGTGCAACACAAGCTTTGTGGAAACCATTTCACAAGAATGGCAGCAATTGTATTTTACAGAACGTACGCCATCAATCAAAGGACAATAAATAACAAAACACTCTGGAAGCCCCATAAGTGCAAAATAAATTGAATTTTGCGTACTTAATAATGAGTTAATTTTGGCTTCATTAAGCCCATACTTCATTACTTAAAATATTGATCTGCGGTTGTTTTCATATTGCCATAGAATTTGTTGCTGTTGTCGTGATAGAAATTAATTGAATTTTCGGTTGGCATAATGACAGTTTAATGAAGTTCGAGTGGCTTTTGAAATAATATTTTGTTATGGCAACAATTACACATATGTATTAACATGTCATTTACACTAGGCAACATAATTGGTTTAAAGGCATGTAGGTATTCGCGAATTTCTTGATAAAAAGGATACTGACAGGCTTCGAGGAAATCACAGCAGTGAAATCAAATTGCATTTAATTTGGCAACATAATTGAACTTAAGATGCATGTGCTAGTTCTTTAAAGCAAGTCTTCCAACATACCGAACGAATCTTTAACAACTTAAGCGTACTCGACTTTGAACATTGGAACGGAATACTTCAAGTGTTCGAGCAAGTCTTCCAACATACCGAACGAATCTTTAACAACTTAAGCGTACTCGACTTTGAACATTGGAACGGAATACTTCAAGTGTTCGAACATCTTTGCGGAGTTTGAACTCCAAACATTTTTCATATTTCATTTTATTTTTTCGTCTTTGTATGATAAAAGAAAAGAATAAAAGTAAATGTTCGAACATAATTTGGTGTTCGAACGTTTTTGATCGGCTCGCTGTGGTGGAGTTGAGTTTCTAAGTGCACGTATATTCGAATAGCAAAACACTTGAAGTTCTCTGGTAAATTAATTCATCCTGAATTTAGAATGTATTTAGAAAAAGGGTCCTTAAGAAGTCTTTTTTGGAAGTATTTTAGGAGGATAAAGTTACACTAATCACACATAATTCTTCAAAAATGTTTTTGAAGTGAACGTGGGTGTGAAGTAGCGATTTGCTCGAAATATCTTGACTATATTTGTGGAAGGCAATAATGCGAAAATTTCGGTATGTGTCTCGCCAGGTAGGAGCAAGTGAATCGCTAGCAATGACTGTATTTTAATGTATTCTTATTCTTAAATAATGAAAAAATTTAATACTTTTTATACTATAAATCTATTCTAAATTTTAAAATGACACAATGATACTGTAGTGGTTTGTTATGTTGGGGTTTATTTCGAATTTAACACTCCGTATTGGTAATGGATAAGTTAATTTAACACTCCGTATTGGTAATGGATAAGTTTATTTATTTCTTATACTTAGTTATTATAAAATATTCTTAAAGTTAAAATTTGTGTTTTTTCGTTTTATTCACGTGCTGCTTTTCTTTTTCCAAACTACTACTGGCGGGAACTGCGGCTATTGTTGTCTCCTTTGTGCCTTGTTGACAGTTCTTTTATTTATTTTTTGGTGCTGCCACAGTACTCCCCCCTAAGTGATGGAGTCACTGAATTTGGTTGGAAAGCGAACGTTGCGTCCTGATTTTGTCAGGTTAGCTGTTGTATTTGGTCGCAGAGACTGGTCGCCATTAACGTTGTTTGGAGTGTGGTATACCATTGATTTGTTGTGGATGTCAATGTCTGTATCGGGACATATGAAAGCAGCTTTAAGACGATCTATGCTAACTGTTTGTTCTTTGTTTTCGATCAGTATTCTAAACGTCTTGTCATTTCGCTCTAGTATTTGGTAAGGACCATCGTAAGGTTGCGTCAATGGTGGTTTTACCTTGTCATTTCGTATAAATACATGCGTGGCTGAGCTTAGAGCCGGTTGGATGTGGTAGCCTCGGTCTATATGATGCGATACCAACGTTGCCTTGACGCTCTGCATTTGTTCTCTTAGCTTGGTTATGAAATCGTGTTGATTTATATTTCTGTGGCTAGGGTTGCTTACTATTTCGCCCGGTAAACGTAGAGTTTGGCCATATAGCATTTCAGCAGCAGAAGCTCCAATGTCTGGTTTAAAAGTCGTGCGTAGACCTAACAATACTATTGGTAAAACTTCTGTCCAAGAAGTTGTTTGGTGGCACATTAAGGCTGCTTTTAATGTGCGGTGAAATCGTTCCACCATTCCGTTACTTTGAGGATGGTAACTCGTAGTTCGTAAGTGTTTGCAACCGATAACTTCAGCTAGTTGGTTGAACAATGAAGATTCAAATTGTCTTCCTTGGTCTGTTGTGATACGTAAGGGTACGCCAAAACGTGCGATCCATTGAGTAATCAGTGCGTTTGCGATGGTTTCCGCTGTTTGATCTGGGATCGGAATTGCTTCTGGCCATCGGCTGAAACGGTCGATGATGGTTAATATATATGTGCAGTTGTTTGATGGTGGTAGCGGGCCGACGATATCTATGTTTATATGTTCGAATCTGTGTTCAGCGAGTTCATATTGACAAATACATAGGTGAACGGTTGTGACGTTGCACTTTAGAACGTTGGCATGGGATACATTGTCGGGTCCAGTTTCTGATATCAGCATTTATAGAAGGCCAGAAAAATTTTTCAGCTATCATTTTTGTTGTGCCCCGAATGCTGGGATGAGACAACCCATGCGTAGCTTTAAAGATATGTAGCCGGTATTTCTCCGGAATGTAAGGACGAATTCGCCCAGTTGAAACTTCGCAATAAATTTTATCTGATATTGTTGGTAAAGATAAAAGTTTGATTTCGATGGAATTGTTGTTTTTGATATCTTGTAGTTGTGGGCAACATCGTTGTAATCCAATTATACAATCGTAGTCGATTTTTGGGATGCTAATACTATCTATCCGCGAGAGAAAATCTGCTGGGATATTGTCTTTTCCGCTGACATGAACGATATTCGTTGTAAATTGACCTATATAATCAAGCTGTCGGACTTGACGTGGTGAAGCCTTGTCGGACTTTTGCTGGAATGCGAACGTGAGTGGCTTGTGGTCAGTTATTAATACGAATTCACGACCTTCTAACATATGTCGAAAATGTTTTATGCCCTGATATGCGGCTAACAACTCACGATCGTATGTGCTGTATCGTTTTTGTGTATCTGTTAATCGTTTAGAGAAAAAACCGAGTGGTTGGAACGTGCTGTCTGTCACTTGATGAAGAACTGCGCCGAGAGCTTTATCCGAGGCGTCTACTTGTAATGCAAGCGTAGCAGTTTTTGACGGATGAACAAGTAGTGTCGAGTTTGTTAGTTCATCTTTACATTTTTGGAAGATTGTTTTGTTCACTTCGGTCCAGCATAACGGTGTGTTGTCGTTCTTCTTGTTTCCTTTTATCATTTGTTGAAGTGCAGTTTGAGAATCTACAGCGTTTGGTACGAACCTGCGATAAAAGTTAAGTAATGCTAGAAATCTTCTTAATTCTTTTGTTTTTGTTGGAAGCGGGTACTCGCTGATGCTCTTCACTCGATCTGGTAGAGGTTGAATGCCCTTTTCACTGATGAGATAACCAAGAAATTTTACTGTGTTTTGAGCAAAAACGCATTTTGATACGTTTATTATTAAACCATGTTTTCTGAATCGTTCGAATACTTGTTGCAAGTGTTGCCTGTGCTCTTCCTCGTTTGCTGATGCAATAATGACGTCGTCAATATAGGCAAAGGCGAATTCGAGATCTCGTAATACTTCGTGAATGAAGCGTTGAAATGTTTGACCTGCATTGCAAAGTCCGAATGTCATGTTAGTAAATTCAAATAATCCAAATGGAGTTATGATCGCCGTTTTTGGAATATCCCCCGGTTCAACTGGTATCTGGTGATATGCCTTAATCAGGTCGATGGTTGAAAAAACTTTTTGGTTATATAACATGTGTGCAAAATCATGTATGTGAGGAACTGGGTAACGATCTGGGATGGTGATTGCATTTAAGCGACGGTAATCTCCACAAGGTCTCCAACTACCGTCTGGTTTTTTTACCAAATGTAAGGGGCTAGCCCAATTGCTGCTTGATGGACGGCATATTCCGGCTGTGACTAAGTTTTGGAATTCTTCTTTTGCTGCTGCTAGCTTGTCTGGAGGTAACCTACGTGGTCTCTCACATATTGGTGGACCTTTTGTTAATATGTGGTGAGTGACTTTGGTCACCTGGCGATTTGTCGGTGTTGGTTTAGTGATGTCGATGTATTCTTTTAGTAGATCTGCAATTTTGCAAGATGTGTTCACAGTTGATATTTTTTGCGCATTTACCTTACGTTCACTTGCGGCTGAGAAAATCTTTGTTGATGTGTCGATCAATCGTTTCATCTTTATGTCTACTATTAATCCGAAATGATTTAAAAAATCTGCACCGATGATTGAAGTGTTTACATCTGCGATAATAAATGGCCATGTGAAATTTCTTCGTAAGCCAAGAGCTAGAGTTATCTCTATTTCTCCAAATGTTTTGATCATAGAACCATTTGCTGCGTAGAGTATTCTTTCGTTCTTATTGTTTGTATTTGAATTTTTTTGTTTGGCGGCAATAAGTGAAACATCTGCACCCGTGTCTATTAGGAATGATTTTTTTGTCTTATTGTCATAGACGAACAGTCTTGTAGATGTTTCGTTTACAACTTCCTCTGCCGCCGTAGACGAAGTCGGTTTTAGTTTTTTGTGCCATATGTGCATGGCTGCTTGCAATTTTTTGCATTTGACCCATATGTTCTATGATACCAACAATTTGTACTGGTCTTTTCTTCACTATCATCATGA